TATCAGTTAGCGAAGGACTAAGAGACGAGATATTTTCCTCGAAGGCTGAACTGAAAATGTCACTCACTTAAGTTGGTAGAGCGGCCCATTGTACAATTCAGCGAATTTGCATGATTCACCTGGCCAAACCAGTCTAGATCACCGTTTAGGTGAACGGCCACGTACTTGGCGGGGCTAACAGTTTACACCAATCTGCTCTCAGAAGATATTTCTAGTTCGACTACTGGAAACGGGCATTTCGCAGTATTTACACACTGGCGGCTCTTGTTAGTTCAGTCGCTTGCCGGCATTCCAGAGGTTCGCGACACTAAGTCTGTTCACTACTGAGCAATCACGAGACGACCTCACTTTTCAGGTTTCCAAAGGCAATATCCGCTAGCCTAGGCAAGGCAGCCTATATAACCATTTTGTTTGAGTCGCCCTCACATCCGGTCATTATATGTCATTGCCCCCCTCTTTTGGCATCGAAGAAATTTTCTAGACCCTTCGCTTGAAATGAGACAAGTTCAAAAAATATGAAATTGTTCATTAAAACGATATTAATTCTGCCGAAGTATGATCAGCTAACTATTTCAGAAAATTCACTTTCTTAGCAGGGCCCAACTGCTGGACGACTCGCAAAATCTGGCCAGGTAAAACGTCGGTGTTATGATTATTGGATTAGTGCATGGCATGAATTGCAGGGCCGGGCTGATATCGTACGAACTGGCCCTTAACCTGACCAAGTACCTCAGCAAGGAGACAAGCTACGTTCCATGGACAGCTCTGCTGCCGACGTTCTACCACCTGCACACCATGATGGCCGAGAAACCGGAGTTCGTTTACTACAAGGTATCGCTGAGACGGAGTCATTTATGCTGTTGTGACACTGTTTCTCTCCAGAAGTATATGCACATTCTGCTGCGGCCGCAAATGCAGAGGCTGAACGATCGTGTAGATGAGTAAATTGGCCAATCACCGAAGAAAGATTCACAGTTAGCACTTAAGGTTTCTGAAGAACGTCGTTGTCCACCAGGCTTGCGCACTGGGCGAATCGACGTGCGTCCGGATGGTGCTGAACATGTTCGACAAGTTCAAAGACGACTGTGGCAACAGCACGACCGGAACGGCGTCGTGCAGCAGGTAACGGAGTCACTCATAGCCGCCCCACTTCTACCTCTACCTGTTTTCCATCTCTTTCAGAATACCTCCTTATTATCGACGCGAGGTGTACTGTACAGCGATGGCGCATGGCAGCAGCGAGGATTGGCTGCTGTTATGGAATCTGTACAAAAGCGAAGAACAGCCCGTCGAAAGTATGAACCTACTACATGGCTTATGCTGCACAAGGAAACCGGATTTGATATCGACGTAAGCATGGCATTTTCATGGCGATGCGCTCCGCTCATCAGGTCGACTGAAACAATAGAGTGTACCATTTCAAACAACTGCAATGTTTCCTCTAAGTCTGGAACTCATTTGTACACAACACATTCATAAACCTGGTCACATGACAAGTGGTCATTAACTTATGAATTTCGAAAGCGTGATTAAACCTTTGATCGTTTTTCACTATGGAAACCAACGTATGAACAGAACACTCCAGCCTAAAAAGTACTCTGGCTGGAAACACGAAACAGGTAGTATGGGATTCATTGTATCCATGACAGAGCATTTCATTGGGTCTCCTACAGTCTAAACGAAAATAAATTACTCTTGGGTGAGGGGAACACAATTTATCAAAAATTGAGGTGATTTATAGTCTGTCATTAATTGCACTTACGCTACGAAATCCTTTCATGTACAGCAGTTGATTTTTATCAATTTTAACTGACAAATATTTTTAGATTATTAAGCCAGGCTGTTAAGGCGGACCCGACGGTCAGAAAACAAGACATCCCGTTCATATTTCAGTCGCTCAAGACGAACACCGCTGCAAAATGGCTGATATGGACTTTCCTTGTTAACAACGTCGATCGCATATTGAAAAAGTAGGATTACTTTGCCTACTGATTACCTTTGTAATAAGTGATTAATCGCGTTTTCACAAGTCGTGAATCATGAAATTTGCGGTGCAGCTTTATCAGTGTTCATTAAACAAAAAATTGCTAAACTAAATATGAAAAAAATAAAAATACAGCTGCAACATTGGCAGTGAACGGACATCACCCCTGTCTGGTCTCGATACACACTACTAGGAAAGTCAGCACTTCCTTTGTATGTTCTCTATGCCGTACGACGTATTCTTATAACCTTTAGATCAAAGGAATGATATGACAGATTAGCTGTCTCTGTAGACATATTCCTAAGTGTTATCGGATAAGAGAATTTCTTTCTTATCA